TGCGAAACCACGGCGATTATCCCCGGAGAAACTGCGTGCTGTAAAAGCCGAGTTCGAACACATGCTTGAAATGGGAATAATCAGACCATCCAACAGTCCATGGTCTTCACCCTTGCATGTGGTACCCAAGAACAATGGCATGGACTGGAGGCCTTGTGGTGACTACCGAAGGCTCAACGCTAAAACGATTCCAGATCGTTACCCAGTCCCTCACATTCACGACTTGACTGCATCTTTAAAAGGCTCGGTTATCTTCAGTAAGCTTGACTTGACGCGTGCATATCATCAGATCCCGGTTCATCCTGATGATGTTCCCAAGACAGCCGTCATTACACCGTTTGGTCTTTTTGAGTTCCTCCGTATGCCTTTTGGTCTTCGCAATGCAGCACAAACCTTCCAACGTTTTATTCACGATGTTTTACGTGGACTCGATTTCGCCTATGCCTACCTAGACGATATACTAATCGCTAGTCCAGACGAAGACACTCATATTAACCACTTGAAACAGGTTTTCGCCAGACTGTCAGAGCATTCGATGACAGTCAACCTGGCCAAATGCCAAATTGGCGTTCGTTCACTAAAATTTTTGGGACACGTTATCGACGAGCAAGGCATTCGCCCACTACCTGAAAAGGTACAGGCGATCCAAGACTTCCCAGTCCCAGCGTCACTTAAAGCTCTGCGTGTGTTTCTGGGTATGGTGAGCTATTATCGTCGCTTCGTTCCCCAATGTGCACACATTTTGACTGCACTGACCGACCTGCTGAAAAGTAAATGTAAAACTTTCAGCTTGACTCCTGAGGCACTAGAAGCATTTCGCAAGATCAAAACCGCAATAGCAGACGCCACGATGCTGGTGCATCAAGACGTAAACCTACCTCTTAGCATTGCGGTTGACGCCTCTAACACGGCCATTGGAGCTGTGTTGCAACAACTTTCGGATCACACTTGGATCCCAGTTGCATTCTTCTCCCGGAAGTTATCCACCTGCGAAATGCGGTACAGCACTTTCGGCAGGGAACTGCTCGCCATATATGCCTCAGTGAAACATTTTCGTCATTTTGTGGAAGGTCGTGACTTCATCATCTTTACCGACCATAAACCTCTGACGTATGCCTTACACACCACTACTGACAGATATTCACCGCGTGAATTACGTCACCTAGATTATATTTCGCAATTCACGTCGGACATCCGTCATATTTCTGGTGTGAATAACCCTGTCGCGGACGCACTGTCTCGCGTTTGCACCACTACTTTGCCTCGAGCAGTCGACTTACGGAAGATTGCCGAACTTCAGGATTCAGACGAGGAGATTGAAAAACTTCAACACTCATCCTCTCTGAAGATACAGCGTTACCGCTCCTGAACAGTGAAGTGTCAATATTGTGCGACACCTCCACAGGCACACCCAGACCCTTGCCGCCGGACTCCCAACAGACTCGTTTAGTCGCGCGTATCCTGAACCTTCTAAAAGAGCCACGTCTAGTAACACTGATCCAGTAACCTCTACACGTGCTGGGAGGCGTGTACATTGGCCCAAGCGATACGCCGAGTTCGTTAATTAGCCCCAGAGCAACTTCACACTTGGTGAATTCGGAGTTTCAACTACTTTGTCGTGGCATACACTTTCAATGCGTTTTCATACCTAAAGTTTTCAAAAGTCATGTTTACTACTTTGCAAACAGTTTTTTTCAAAAAAAAACCAAAAATACAATTTAAATTCCGAAAACTTTTTTTTGGTTGGTTATTATTTTTTTCTGTACTCCCCCACTTCGAATTGTTTGGTTTTCCTTTTCTTAGCACTCTAATGTCCCATTTCTTTCTTCTTGCAGAACCTAGAAAATGCGTTGAAAATTGGATACAATTGGCCGCTGACGATGCTACTTGGATCGTTCTTCGGTTCTCTTTGTACCAATTTCCCCCTGTACACTCCCCGGTAGATTAAGAAGCAATAGGGAAAAGTAGACGGAGGCTTTGGGTCACCTTCCACCACTGCGAGAAGGGTTGCGTCTAGACGCAAAGTTATCTTACCTCGTAGGTGTGCATAGTTGCACTAGCTTCGGAGACCCACACGTCACCTACTCCATCACCAATATGGAAAGGTGTTGCGTGTCCGCCTCGCAGTCGCCTCCTAGGATCGAAGGTTGCCGGTATCCCAACAACCTTCTAGGAGGGGGATAACCTGTAGTGCACCTTCCTGGCACCAAAATATAACTAGGGCTAAAATAAATAGTTTAAATTAAATTAACTAAATAAATCTCTAGCTTGCCTCCGGATGCTTAGGGTGTTTTAAGTTTTGTTTTAACGAGCATGCATCCGAGCAGGCTTGGACGCCATTTTTGCGCTCCATTGTGCTGATCACCACGCACGTACTCCGAGTCCCTAGTTCAGCCTTACAAGCCAGATAAGTTGATTAAACTTTTCCCTCATTCATTATTATTACATTTACCTTAAATACATAGCTCCTTTAAATACATTGCGTATCAGTTCTTTTGATTTGTGTTTTGTTACCAGTACTTACACGTTAGGTAAAGTACTGGTTAAGCAGGTACTAGACCACATCAAGTTAAGTAGGGTTGATCAGACGTTACGGAATTGTAACACGCATCCTACAATAGTGTTGTCTAAAAATCCATCAGTATATATGTCCCAGTCCGTTTCTATAAGCATGCATCTGAAGTGAACTTTGTTCGAAAAGTATTCGAAAACTTTCTTATGTAATTTGCCGTACACTTTAGGCAAAACGCGTACAATACAGTGGTCGGAGTTTAACAGCGGACTCCGTTTACAAACTTCATACATGCCAGGTTTATTTGTAAATACTAAGTCTAGGGTGTTGTCAGGACGATTTGAAAATTTAACCATATTTTCATGACCCAGTGATAATAGAAAACTGCAGTCATATGAATTGCAATCTCCACAAACTAAAGACAAAGAGTTATCCAGAACTGGAGCAGCAAATTCAGTGAATTTGTAGCGCATTCGAAATCTTACTCGTTCACCCTAGAGTTTCGATTTCTAGACAGCCTCACCCCTTCGTTTTCCAGCTCTACTGTTTTTCAGTTATCTTTTATTATTAAATGTAAGTACATCCTATGTAATTGCTGAGTCGTCGGCTCACCTTTCTTCTCTTACTTTTGTTTGTTCCAGATTTTCGTGGCCACCACCAAACTCACATTGCTCTGCACGCTCCCTGCAACAACGTACCTATCTACAGGCTAGACGAAAACTTATCGAAAATTGGTCGTTACAAATTCACCAGCAAAAGTTGACAAATCTGAGAAACTGCAGTCGGGTGTGACATAAATGTTTGTTATGTATACACGTTTGTATTCACTGAAATGTTTGGGACGACATTTAATGGTTATGCTCCCAATTTTTTTGTCAGAGAGGCTGAAGCGTACACAGTTGGTGATTGACCAATTTGCACCAATAAATGACTGTACATCGCTACCACATTTCTTCTTCGGAAAGCATCTATCTTATCGAAATAATTGAAAACTTTTTTAGCAGACTAAATCATCATACAGGTTATGAAGACACGTTTCCTGTAGCATTATTACACACGTGTTTCTATAAGTATGTGTTGACAAGAGTGACTGGAGGTATTCGATAACAACTTGCAGTTGGTGCAAGGCATTCACGCAATAGTCACTTAATCTATGGTCATAAGATTGAGAGCCCGTTGCCATCCACCGTGATGTTTCTTTTTAATTTTCCTATCAATTCGTATAACGATGGGTTGTGATGATTTTAAAAACGTGCGAGAGCTTACAATAAGATTAACTGATATAGTTGGGTGATTAAAACAATACAGAAAGGAGGAACTTGATGCAATATATTCTGTGATAGAAAAGGTAACCTAGAGTCCAAACAAGGCAATTGAACTGGTAAAATACAATGAAACAATGCAGATATCTATCACAAAGCAGCTGGAAATATTTCCATCATATATCCGTATCGTGAACAGTTATTAGTAATTCTTGTTATGGCATGCAACTAAAGACAATAGTGGCACCCACCAGTGAAACTTCTGAAAGTTTGAGCAGGTCAGGTTCATCCCTTTTTGGTGCCCTGGTATCTGGCTCAAACTTTTATACGCTGTTCCCTAAGTACGATCACTTTTATTACTCACACAAACACTGCTAATCCTCCTGCGTCGGAGAGTGTAAATAGCAGGATGAAAGGAGAAGTTTAAAATGAGGTGCTGTGGTGACAAATGAGCCAACGAAAATCTGAAACGAGTAGCAAGTAGATGGAATGCGAAATGTAAGAACGATTACACAAGTGTTCAGTTATAAGGTGAATGTCAAGTATACCGACAAATAGATTGTGATGTGTATATCTGTATGCTACAGAACAAACTCCCCTGTACCCACTGCAGCACTGCAACTACAGGCTTAACAAACAGCCTGTTGTTGAAGCAAGCACAAGCGATTCGTTTGCTCTACCGGAGTCTTTCAAATGAAAAAGCTATACCTTCTTAGGGTGTCAGTACACAGTTTTAGGTATACTACTCGGCTGACTTTGTCATGCTTTTTTGTACAGCCGTATATACCTAAAGAAGTAGTCACCTCTATACGCGAAAGGTGATTAGAAGGAAACTTCTTTCGCTCCATCATAAACTTTCTTGCACCATGTGAGGCTGTTCGCCGTCGTGAAATCTATAGGTACACGGGTGAATATCGGAAGAAGACTGGTACTACAAACTTTACCTTCTGTCTTCAAACTGATAAATAAGATGTGTTTAAGTCATTCAGCTTAAGATGTCTGGAAGTAACTTCTGTTGGAACTGTTGCGAGGATCAGCTTTTGATAGGTTTTCGTCTTGCAGGAGGATGAGCAGAACAGGGTGAGCTTATCGTTGACCACAACATAAGACCCTGACATAGCAAGCACGCAGGATGCACTGTAATTTAGTAATAAAAGGTAATATTGATACGGTAGCGATCCAGAAATAAAGGACGAGACTGTCTGAAAATCAAAACTGGAAAGTGGATGAGTATGGTTTCAAATGCACTACAGTGTGGGCTATTGAGCAGCGGCGGGAAGTTTCGAAACTTGGTTACTCTGTTTCTGGTGAGCTTTGGTTGAAACTTTTTTGTGTACAACTGTATAACCTTAAAAATATTTCTGTACTGCCTCCTCAACTTTGTTAATCAGTCTGATATAGTCGAGCAATAAAATTGTAAGAACTCTGAGAGATTAATCCACAGTGATTAATTTAATATGAGAGTGAGCAACAAAAACTGCACGAATATAAATATCATGACGATGATAACACAGGAGATTTGTTGAAAAATAGAGTTTCTCGTCTAATGTACGATAGGTTTTTGTCTCGGCCTCCGGTATTCAGTGGGAAGAATAGTAGGCTGCTAACTTATGGTAACTCTTCCTATGATTGTCTCTGTAAAGGTCCAGTTTTTCCGTGAATGCGATTGTCTAAAAAAACCTCCCTCCATCTGTCCTGGCAATGATTTTCTGTCATTAACCTCTCTGCGCATAGAGATTTTTCCATGGGAGAGTCGGTACTGCGTTTGAATATTATTGGGTAGAGGATTTAGGATCTTTTGGTGTTCTTCTGGACAACCCATCTTAGAGGGAGTAAAGAAATTGGAGACATCGATGCCGAAGTCAATCAGAATGCGGAAGTCTACAATCAGGCCACCTCTTTTCTTACGATAAGGAAAATAGTTAAAACCCTGCTACTTCCTCTTTATTAAGTAGGTAGGTGGGCAAGACCTGACACTAACTCAGTGGCAACTGTAATGATCACTCAGCATTAGTTAGAGGTAACTGCGAGGAGAGCATATAGCAGATAATCGTCTTGCATTTCTTTGTAAACGGTTACAACTATTATTTTGACACGAAGTTCGGCACTGCCTGTTAAAATACGTATTTATACAGATTTAACTGGGACAGAATAAAGTCTTATTTCCAATTTAATAGTTTGCTAAGAAAACTTACTTTGTGTCTTACACCTCTGTAGGCTTGGCAGAATGTTAAATGGGCGTATGTGCACTAGGTTTTATTATCCATATGATAAAAGGGCTTCACTTTGTTAGTTGATCACATCCAACATCAACTGAGTTGATCTAGTCCTTGCTAATATCGGTGCATTGGTACTCAGGACCTCAGTATAAACTAAATACACATGTCTAATCTTTTCTCGAAGATACAAGCAGATGCAATTGCGATATTCCAATTCCCCTAGCTCTAACTGAATCATTCTGTTTCAGACCTGCACTGCCGCGTCGCCAGCTACTGCCTAAGTCGTCTGAGTCCGTCGTATTTGTTTACCTTGACTGGTCTGCGAAAGTGTTGAAGGCTAAGTGTGCCATCATCAAACAGATTCCGCTTATAGATGAGACAAACTAGTTCCAGTAGTAATCTCTCGTCATGGAGGTTACTGTCGACATATAATGCCAACCGACTGACTCATTCTTTGAGCCTACTCCAGTAAGTGCTTGCTGTGCATCAGGTGAGGTGGGCATACGGTGGTCAAGTATTCTCGATATTGGAGGATAGTCCACTGTACGATTTTAAGGTTGTTTTTCGTGAATCCACCAAAAACCGAGAAGCATTTCTAGCATAAAGTCAGTCTTCACACTTCTCAGTAAACGGTTAGAGCTAGTGAAACTCAAACGTTAGCATTCCTAAATTGCATTCTTCATTAACAAACTGCTTTCTATGATATAATTATACGTTATGCAGCATCTGATGCCCAGTCGAACTGTTTCAAGCCAACCTGTAGTGTATCTAAGTCGCTTTTATTACCGATTCTTCTTTCTGTTTTTAAGTCTCATAAACAACACTGATGGTGACTCGAGAATCTACACTGGATAATTTGTATAAACTGAACATGGGGAGTTGACCAATGGTCCTTACGGTACGGCGCTTTTGTAGGGATGTTAAGCAGTAGTCGTTAGCCCTTACCACAAGGAAATAGTTCTCAGGAAGGGGACGGGACCAGGATAGTAGTTTTCCGTAAACATCAGTACCGCTTAGTTTAGAAATAAATAATGGTGATCGATGCTATTAAAGACATGCAGGATATCCGTGTAAACAATATCTGCTTGATTATATCCATGAAAAATGTGAGCCTTGTAAAGAAAACCAATTTATTATAAATGTATTTGTAGCAAATAATTCCAACAGTTCCTGTGACCACGAGCAGTAAATATTACCAAAAATAAAGGACATCATTTCGTGTAAATCTTCACCACAAATATATTTATAGTAAATTTATACCTGCTTACTTTTTGTGTCAACTGCTTTTTTTGTGTATTTTTGTTTTGTCCCATTGAACCATCTATGTGACGTGATTATTCTGGATAGATCCAGAACATGGGCCAGAAAATCGAAGGCTTATGACAAACTGTGTAAACAATTCCTGTTAGCCCAATGACGTTTACTACACACATGCCTTACTGTTTACTCCCTTTCTCTTAATACCAAGTAAATACTACTAGAAATGGTTATCCTAGTGACATTTCACACCTTTCAGCAAACGGAATAGAGTTGTGAACGATGAAAAGTTCTGTGGGTAACTTCAGAGTTGTGCAACGCAAGTCATCGGTACTTCACAAGTGTAAACAAAGGTCAATGCCAAAACATATTGTGAAAATTGAATATTTGCGTCACTCGTATGGACATTATTACAATGTATTGTGATCATCCAATAGGTTAGTTCTGCTAGTGTGGCGACATTATACGAAGAGTGCGTAAGGACAACAATATTGTCATCACTGGAAGCCTAGTGATTGCGAACAGTGTCATTGTAACCTTAAATTGCAATTCTACTAGCTCACCTGCTCTTAAACACTCAGGCATCTAAGTCTTCCTCCGGTTTGTTGTCTTACGAACACTTGTGGGCGCATTAGAGCTGATAGTGAGATGTCCAGGGAGCTATGCTCATCTACTGGTGTCCGTTCGGCAGGCCCACTGTCTCCATTCTTATTCAATTTCATCATAGATATTCTTATGGAGGTCTCCCTCTCCTCACCTCATTACGCAGACGTTCACCTAATCACAGGAGAATTTTCACTAGACTTAGAATATGCAGATGACATAGCTCTGCTAGGTAAAGACGCTGACTGATGAGATGCAGAGTCTTCTGGACTCTTTGAGTGCCAACTTGAGAATGTTTGGCATGCGTTTCTCATCACCCACATACAAATTGCTGCCCCACGATTGGTCTTCAACTGTGCCACGGCTAACAATAGACAGTGAAGTGGTTGAGTGTGTCGACCACTTCACTTACCTGACCTGGGAAGTGATGTGGGATCAGCCGAGACTTGATGGGTCAGTGGTCGGTGAAATCTCTGCATGAATACAAAAGGCTCGACTGGCTTTTGCCAAGTTACACTACCTGTGTCACTGACGTGATATCCGATTGTCTATTAAGGGTCGCGTGTACTGCAACTGCACAGCAGTCCACTCTATGACTGAAACATGGCCATTCAAGGTGGAAGACATGAAAGGCTGGCTCCACGTGATTGAACACCGTTGCCTTCGTAGTATGGGCCGTATTCTGTGGTGTCACCGCATGATTAACGTAGAAGTCAGGTGTAGAGTTTTTAGGGAGTAGAGGTAAATCAGTTGACGAGGTTATGAACCTTCATTGACTGAGATGGTTGGGATACGTGTTACGTATGCCTAGTCGCCGTCTGCTCGTCATACAGTGTTGACCGAAGTGGGTCCAGGCTGAAAAAGGCCCGAGGTGGCCAGACTAAAACACGGAATCAATGTATGAGTGTTTGACTGTTGGTTTGAGCCATGTGGAACGATGCAGACTAAGTGGTTGGGGTTCACGTAACAAGAGAAACCAGTGGTTGGAGACTGACTCTAGGTGATCAGATGACTCAGAATCGATGTCAGTGGCGCAAATATATACATGCATTGTCCTCATAGTAACTTTTTACCGAATCTCACCATTTTTTCATTCTTCCTTTCTCTCTTTTAGTAGTTAGTATTTCTTTTGACGGAATCTCCTTATCTTCATCTTCCATCTCACTGCCTTTATACTTGACTTTCGGATATGAGCTATAGCAACTCGGACCGTTACGCATTGATGCCTGGTCCTATGTTGCTATTGATGATGATAATGATGACTTCCGTTTGAGCTACTTTCGTCCCTCATCGTGGTCGCAGCCATTGAGATGGGTCTGCTCTCATCAATCAGTTTAGATGGTGTTGTAGGAGTTCACTGACTTGTGAACTTTGAGATCTAGATTAGCAACTGCCTCTACAACTGAAGACTGAACATCACGCTAGGCGTCATCAGGAAGAGAACTGCTGTTATATTCAGATAGATACTTAGCTGTCCGCTCCGTAAATACTCACTGGATATGTCAGTCTTCCAGTCGATTACACAATGGCTTCACTGCTGTCTGGTTGCTGAACTCACTATGGCGTAAATACACACGTACTCGTACTAACGCACAGAGTTCAAACAGGTTCTCTAGAAAGAGCGGCAACCCTCCACCTATCCTTTCTAACAACGACTTACAGCAATATGATCTATGCGTCCCCACCGTCGACGAGTGTCACCATCTTATCCAGTTCTAGCATATCCATTCATTCGGACATCTCGTTGGTGGCTGTCGATTGGTGGCCAGTCGAGGAATCTGCTTTATTCTGTACATAAATGCAATACATACACTGATGAGTATAAAAGTTAGCCATCAAATCTCCGAATACTGGTTAATTAGGTGTTGCAGATTGATCGCATGGACTATGTGAGACCAAGTGAGTAACTCCAGTTGGGTCCTGTATGTGTGTGTCAGAAACGCATGACTCGAGATTCCAGAGATTCATGGAAGAATGCTTGTTTAATTCAGTATAGGGTTTGCACGTTTAAAGCTTTAACCTGAAATTGGTAGCATGGTTTTAGGAGACTATTAGTTGTATTTTCCTGGTTTAGGTCGTTAGCAATGATGGTAGGGTGAGAAGTCTAGGAACCTATAAGGGATTTGAAGTGGATATCATGTAATAAGACCAAGGGAGGAGACAAAAGCTAGGGAAGGTAGGTTATGATTAGTTGCGTTTTTTTATGTTGCTGGAAGAGTGAGGGCGGT